CACGCTAAAATCAGATGCTTGAAGTTGAAATTGCAGCAACCAAGATGGCATTGCGCGAAGGAAGTTTTGTGGTGGCTTGCTTGAAGTTCTGGAAGTAAATCGCTTCTCAGACTCGGCATTCATTCTCAACTGTCGCACAATCTGTCTGAGACCATCGGTGATCTCAGGTCGCACCATCTTGATAGCAAATGTTTGCAGGTTACCTGATGCCACAACGTGAACATCAGGTGTCGCACTGAGCTGCACCTTAAGCTCGAAGGACTCGGTTTGAATGAGGTCGAATCGGTTACTCGATGACGTCTGGTAGTATAACTCGTGTGACTGTATCCTCATCGTTGAGGCTAGTGAGTAATGCAAGTCCTCAACAGTAGAATGGAATGATTCCATGTCAAGTGAAATCGATGAGATTGAAGATATGATTAAGTCAAAATCGTCGGGAGCTGCGTGCTGGTCGACTGCTGGCAGCGCGACTCGAAGAACGGGCTCGTGCATTGTAAACTTGATGTTGGCTTTTGGCAGTAATCGTGATATGAGTACGTGCCGTGGCTGACGGTCGCCGCGGTGCCTTTTGGGTTTTGGTTGAAGCATGGCGACGAGGATTGGAAGGTGACGCGGGTCGAGATCCACCGATGGCGATGTCACTACGGAGTTGGCAAAGAGGATGTTGGCATTCCTCTCCTCGGCGCCCACGTCCTGTGCCATCTCGACTGTCTTGGACGGCAGGGTCGTCTTGACTGTGGTTGTCGCCATAGGAATATACAACAGTCTCTCAGGCTTCCCGTCGCCGTCGTCCAGGCCAATAGATATGGACAGCGCTGCGGCGAGAGCCTCATGGGCGATGTCCTTGGACGGAAAGTACATCCTGTGAGACGGCGATTTGGGATCTAGGCGATGCAGATCGATGCCGACCTCCTTCATAGAGGCATTGAGCAAGATGGGCTTGGCGTTGGGCTTTACCGTCTCCACTTTCTTCGTCATGCCAACAAAGCTCACCGCGAATTGGACCTCCTTAACGCCCCTCAGGATAGAGCTGATGAATTCTTTCGAGTCGGACACGGTCTGAATCAACTCTTGGTGCGTGCTGCCCGGCTGAGCAACCTCGTGGATCACCTTCTCCATGAAAATGTCGGCCGGCTCCTCCAACGACGGCGTGCGGGCCGCCGACTTGCACTCCTTCAGTCGGTCGGCGCATAACCGAACCTCGTCGTAGGGAATGTGGACACGGCCCAGCTTCAGAGCAATGGCTGCATCTCGTAGTCCATCCAGCGCCTCATACAAAAACCCATGAATGTTCAACGTCGCATTATCGAGAATTTCGAGAGAATCCTTGCCCATTGGTGTAAACAAAACGCTGCGTAGCGTCATCATCCACTCTGCCTGTCGTTGCTTGTTCTTGGTCTTGTCATTTCGAGACTGGAAAAAGAAACGAGCGCGGTCGACCATCTTGCGCCGTGTGTCGACAGCCACGGTCAAGCTTCCGAACTGCACATCGCCCACGTCGACTACCTTGATGGTAGAGTTGGTAGCCACGACATCAACCATACGCAGCCAATTCAGCTTGCGGTGCGCCCTCTTTATCCTGTCCTTGAGCTTCATGAGGTGTTTCCAGGTCTCGCTCCGGGGCGGTGGGCCGCCATTCCGTCGTATTAAAGGCACCTTCTGTTGCTCCGCCTGCTGTGTATCGGAATCCTCCTCGGCATCGGTACTATCGGAATCGCCGGGGCTGTCCTCGCTCTTCTTCCCGTCGAGCTCGCGGATGTCGACGGTGACGACCAGCTCGCTGACCACAATGCTCAGCCATGTGGGCTGGGCGAAGGTCGGGCGGTGGACGTTGAGTCCCAACCCCCGAATCTCAATCTTGAATCCATCTCTCGGTGTATAAGCGAGTCGGCGGAGGGAGAAGTAGCCTATCCTCTGAATCGATACTCCGGTAAGGATGCGGACGACGGCGAAGAGAATGAAGGAGGAGAGGTAGAGTAGGACAATGACGCCGAAGATGAAGGTCGGGTTGAGCAGAGCCATAGTGAGCCCGCGGTCGATTCGCGCGATCGAAAGCTCGGTTCAGTATCTGTACCACCACCGCCGCAACGTTAGTCCAACAGCTCCCGGAACGGAGTGGGTATGGAGGGGGCAACGGAGGGACAAGACGGCGGACACGGAGGACAAAAAAGGAGGGTAACGTGCCTGGAGAGAACCAGATCTCTATGGAATCCCGCACGTTTACTTCCGCCTCCAACGATCCGAGCGCGCCATGTCGTGAACCAGTCCTTGTGTGTGGGTATTTGGGGTGCGTCTGCAGGAGTGGTTGATGATGTAAACTCCGCGGTTGCTCTCTTGCAGGAGCAGAGTTCCGGCGCCCAGGCGGTTGCAGTATTTGCCAAGGGATATAACGAGCTAGCTCGATCGTTCGGTCGTTCGGTCGCAGGGCGGGATGGCGGGGAGAAAAGAAGACAATCGGATCCCTTGGGAAGGTCGGAAGGGAGAGGGAGGGTAAAGGTTGCTGACCCCAAAAAATGGCGGCGATGCGATGAGGTGCGGTGCGGTGCGTTGCAGTGCGGAGAGTACTTTCCGTTGGGGAAAAAAAAGACGACGTATCCGTATTGCGGTTTGTGTGGCAGTCCAGTCGGATAGCAGAGGGTTGGCTCAGAAAAGCCCAGCCCGGCGGGATCGGTGATTGATGCAGCTGCTGCAGAACGAGTGACGCAGCGCAGCCAGGAATTGTTGGATGGATTGGATTGGCAAAATGCGAGCGATGCCGTCTAAGCCCTTGTCCTCTGTCTTCTTGGTGACCTGCTCGGCACGACACTGACGCTGCCACACACCAACACGTATTCAGTACGGTAAGCCAAGGAGGTACTTGCTGCTTCAAATCCACCCTTGACAGGGAACCCGTCTGTCCCAGCTGGCTGTCAATGTCTTGTCGATACGATTAAATGATGAACGATAACGGGCGGGTTGCTAGCCAGCAAAACAACGCGGCCTTCTTTTTTCCGTTTCAATAGCAACAAATAGTAGAACCCAAGAGGGGATTGGTAAGGTAAGACAAGACTGACTGACTGTCCAAACTTGGAGAGTTGGAGCCAAGACAAGCAAGGGACAGAACAGGAGAAGCGGCGTCGCGTCGGTGTGGTGCATGCAGTGAGTGCAGGGCGACGGGAACAGGGCGGCCTGGCCTGGTCTGGTTTGGTCTGGTCTGGTCAGGTTCGCTCACTCTCGCAAAGGTTTAAGGAGGCGGACGGAGCGGCGGAATCCAGGAACAGGGCACTTGGGATTGACGGGTGGTGGAAATGAACATCACCAAGTCCACTCTCGCCAGGGGTGCTCCAGTCGCGGTACTTCTGACATCGCCTGTGCATCACCGCGCAGCAAGTACCGCCACGGTGTCACCAGCGAAAGGGACGATGGCATTCACCACTTCTTCTAAAATTCCCACCCCCAGAGATGGTCCTCGCTTGCCGGCTAGTTCCGGCTACTACGGCACCTCATTGGATCGCTGACTGTTCAATGTGGACCCCCAATCCCGGCTCACTGAGTGCGAGAAGTACGTACTCTCTTCACCCGAGGTGCAGCACCACCCGTCCGGCATGGCTTCATGTCGCCGCCTTGGATTTATTATCAAATGCGTGCATCCCATCGCTGCATCAGAGGGCCGTGCATCGCGGACTCAATGCGCTCCTGCATTGGTTGGGACGCCCTGGCGCCGAAGCTAGGGCTGCTCCTCATCCTTAGCACGTGCAGCAAGCGCCTCCAATCTCGAGCGTCCGTCATATCGGACGCCGACTGAGCCAGCCTCGGACGGGGAGCTTCGGACCAGGATAAGCCGTCTGAACCAAGATCTTGCTCTTGTGATTGAGTTGAGATAAGCACTTTACTTAAGAGGGTGCCAAGCCATCTCGATCATCCATGTATTTGACTACGCGTATGCAACTCGGAAGTCATTCCATCCGCTCGTGGTCCACCGGCCCTTCCATCGGAGAATTGAGCGGCAAGGACCAACTGACAGCGAAACACGTGGTGAATCGCAATCCCTCGCCGAGTCATGCTTACTGGTCTTGTAAGTTGTAGGTCCACTGCATCAATTATATGATGTTTTACACATAGGATCTTCGTCGACGACTTGTTCATTGGAGAAAATGCATGGCTCGTCTCATTCGATGTCAACCAGCTACATAGACTGCCACCTTCTTGACACGCCTTGCTGTTTACGCCTCGCAAACTCCTTTTCGGACCACCGCGATCATTCACCCGTTGAAAGACTTCGTCGCAGCTACCCGTTCAATGTTGCTAAATCACTAATGCCATCGTCAATTTGGAAAGAGTAGGGATGAAGAGCGGGTCCCCGGCCAACCCGCCCATCACCAGTTGGTCGCGAACCACGGTTGGCCACCGCGGACAGACTGAGAAATAGAGGAAGCGACAGGCCTCCTGCATCATTCACTACTGAATGATTAAACCCGACATTGAGGTCCAAGTCGCCGTATGAAACGCTTGTCTCCCCGGTAAGAGGCGCAGTCTCCGCGACGCGGTGCAGAACTTCGTCTCCAACGGCATCCTCCAAATGTCCGTTGTAGTCTTTTAAGCAAACATGCCCCCAGTCAAGTTGCGGGGCCCATAGAATAATGAATAGCCATCCTATGTTGCTCTTTCTGTTCCTTGCTATGATGAATTCGGCACGGCTCTCATGAAGGACGTGACGCCGTTCAATATAGACGCGCCGGCTGGGTCCGGTACGCCGCCAAGACATTCTAATCTCCCATGCCTCCAATACTGTGTTCAAAGGAAAAAGTAGGAAAGAGACGCCTTCATACCTAGGTATAAGAAACCTAGGTGGCTGCACATAAAGGGGAGCCTCGGAATATCGTGGGAGGGAAACTAGGTTCGGCTGTGCAGGAAGAAATTGACGCGGAATTGTAATGATATCTCGAGAGTGGTCTCGGTAGAAAGTCGCTCCTGTATCATAAGTTGACAGTGGAACACTTATAAGAACATTCTGCTGTCCTTTATAACTGCAGTTCAGTGCCCCATAACACTCGCCCTGATCTCCAAATAGCAGGGGAAGAGTGATTTTCAGCCCGAAATTTGTCATGGCAAATTCTCTGTGATGCGGTTGGGCGTATGGCTCGTGATCTACGTCCCGCATAACGCGACGACACTTTCCAAAGGCTGATGGGAAAGGCGCTAGTGTTGTAACGGAGTGCTGCCCCTGGGCATGATATCTCGGTGTCGATGAAGGCCAGTTCCAAGCAAAAATGCTTTGATCCGGGGATACCTTGATGATTTCTTCTTGCAGTCTCCGGAATGCGTCGATCTCTTCACCATATAAGAGAGCCATGTTGATGTCGAAGAGCCCCAGGAGACAGTAGGCCATGTCTTCCGCTCGGGTTGTCTGACGTGTGGATACCCACGACATCTTCTTAGCAGCGCATGCAGTATCGATTTTTCTTGGATCGCGAAGCATAGCCGCATCTATGCCAGTAGCATGGCTAATTTTCTTGCAAAGGCTGGTTTTCGTGCCGAAATGTTCCCATGTCGCATTGAAGAACATCACGTCTCGGGGTGCAAGCAGCTCTTGTAACGTCCAGCCTCGGGTGAACCATCGACATTCAAACATGTTTGTGATAGGAGTCATTGCTGAGAGGTCTTCCAGATATGCAAGACAAACCGACGAAGCCTGGTACCATGAGAACATGGAATTAATGGCTTCGAACAACTCGGCGCTGCTTTTCTTGCCAATGTAATTGGTATCGACCCAGATGTACCCATGACCATTTGTCAGAGCGATCCAATAAGCGTATTTAATCTTCTTGAAGCCGCTCTTGGCCTCTATCCGAGCTTTTTGGGCCGAGCCTCCTTCCTCCCATTGCGTCCATTCTTGGTGGCTAACTTCCTCTTTGCCCCATGTATGAGAGAGAATGGCGTACGCGGGGCGTTGTGAGTCAAAAAACTCGTGAAGACGAAGGGTGCTGGCGTTAATGAGTCTCATGGTCAAGATGTCGTCAGGCGATGTAGTGTCAAGTAGCAGAGAGACCAAGATGATGCAAGCTGAGGGGAACAATCAGGCTGCGTCTGGCGTCGCGAAGTTATGCCTTCGTGGCCAAGTGACCGATTACGTCTCATCACCTTTGCCCAATCATGACTGCAGCACACCCTCCTGCACCGGAAAGCTTGGCTAGGAAATTGTCCAAAACTGCCAATGCGGCGCGATTGGGCCGTGCTTCTCGACATGAGGGAAGAAAAAGAGGCTTGTGGTTCAAAATAGCATGCAATTATATCATTTCGGTCGACTGCAAATTTTGATTGCCCCTGAATTTGAAGCCTTTTCCGGGTTTGTTAGCCACAGGATCATTGTCGTCGCTGATAGGATCTTTGACGGTGATGTCTAGCTAGATGATACACTATGTTCAATCATGCGGAAATGTTGCCGAAGATGTTGTACATGTATTGTTACAGTCTAAATCGTTGGGTATTATGTACGCTGATGAACCGATTGCACCTAGGCCTTAGGACTTGATGGCTTCGATAAAGGCTCTGGAGATCGAGGGGGTTCTGCCGCCTTCGCAGCCCGCAGCTCGGCAATCTTGTCGTCGATCAGAGCAATCTCGGCATCAATCTTGAGCATCTTCTCGTCGAGCATATCGCGGTACTCGTCGTCCGACAGCTTCTTCAGCGGGCTCCAACTCGATTCAAAAAAGCTCTTCTTCTCCTTGGCATCTGGGGACACTTGTTGTGTCCTGTTTACGATGGCCTGGCCTGCTCCGCCCACTATTGAGAACACGATGATACCGGGGATGATGTTCTTGGGACCACCTGCTAGCGGTTAGGAAGTTCTTCACAATGACAAGAGATGCCACTCACGGATAAGGCCGCCAACCATGCCAGCAGTGCCTCCAGCAACAGCACTGGCTTTGACCTTGGATGAGTCGGACAGTTGACCCTCACGGCCCAGGTAATTCAAAGCTACTGACCTAGAGACTAAAAGTTGATTAGCATATGGACTCGAGGAATGCGACAGGAATACTCACGCCAGTAACTGGAGCCGAGGGCGAACCATTGGATGCCTGATGCTATCGCAAACAGGGCTGGGGTTGAGTCGCGAATGATACCAGCAGCAATACCACTGAACAGACCAATGGAGCCTTGGAATTACAAGTTAGCGAGTACTTCATAGTGTGATTGACCATTCAGATGATAACCTACCAGTCAGAGCACCAACTTTCAAGGGCGGTCCCATGAGATCAACAAGCTCGGGGGGTAGCAGTCCACGGCGCTGCCGCTGCCGCCGCCTCTCCTTCACATCGTCTTGCGCGTCATCTGCCATATCGATTTTGGCGGCAGGTTGCAGGAAGCCAGGGCCCGGACATCCAGCGACAACGCAATGCAGGGGACGACGCGACGAGTGTTCTGGAAGCTTTCCCCACGCAGATATCGATTATGCAGCAAACGAGGAGATGACAAACAAGCGAGGGGCCGTTTCTAAATGTTTCGGTGCGGCTCAAAACGTTTTTAACCGTGCACTCCGGATAGATGCAAGAGCCGGCCGACGTTGTGGCCCAAGCACTCCCCCAGCAGTGCTACAGCAGACAGCGAAGCGCTGGAGTGAGGTCGACCGCAGGCTTCCCCTCCCCCCCAAGACTCCGGTTGCCCCTCTCGCAGCAGGCGGATTGTTCAATCACGGGTTTGCCCGGCTATGATGGTCCGTGCTATTTGGCGGGGCGCTAGGTAAAAAAGCTGCGCTAAGCCGCAGCGGGGCTAGTGCCTCCCACCTCCTGGCCACTGTCGAGAAAATTGTCCAACCCTCACAAACTTTCGACCACTCTTTCTGCGCGGGTAAAACTTCACCTCTCTCCGGAAGACTACCGCCTCAGCATACCATACAAGCTGGGCCATATCTAGTCTGCCGCGCATTCCTGACGCAAATCGCCAATCGACACTCTCGACTCCGGCGCACGAGATCCTCCCTCCCACGGCGGCATCTCGACCTGCAGAATATCCCTCGGATATCCAGCCTCCGCACCACTACCAACACCCCTTGCGAACAGCCGCCTCGTTCGGCTACCACCATTCCCCCGCCTCGCGCCTCGATCTGAATCGTTGCGCGAAGCCCCCTCAACACCGCAATCATGGGTGAGCTACCCTTCGTCGAGGACCGTCGTGTCGCCTCAGACCCGTGCTGGCGCTAACTCGTCATGTCATCATAGCTCCCAAGAAGAAGGAACAGCAGAAGATGTCGCTTGGCGACTTCCTGCAAGACCAAAGTCAGTCGCAACCCCTCGACAAAATTTTCCCCCGTTCTCCGAACCCCGAAGCAGCCCACAACCCTTCGAACGACAGGATTCGCCGCGCAGATTATGGACACGAAATACTGACATTGTGCAGGCTACGGAGGATCGTGGGCAGATGAGGTCGAGGATACTTTCAGTGAGTTTTTTTTTCCTTCGGGCGCCAACCACATGCAGCAGACAGTCTCGCTAACCTTTATGCAGCCGGTATGCGACAGCTCCCCGTCTCAGCCTTGCACTCTAAGGCTTTCCGTCCACTGACATGTGTTTGCAGGCACTCAGGCACTTCCTCCTCCTGAGCGGGCTGGCTACCGTCCCTCCGGAGGTGGTTGGGGCAGCGGCGGCGGCGATCGCCCTGAGCGCAGTGAGATTTTATTCCAACTACCTCTACGTCATTCAACCCACATGCTAATGATATTGTAGGGGACTACGGCGGCTACTCCTCCATCCGCGAGAACCTCCCCCAGACGCTCCCCGACAAGCCCCCCTTTACCGCTCACCTGGGCAACCTTTCCTACGATGCCACCGTCGAGACCGTCACCGAGTTCTTTGAGGGATGCAACATTGTCAACGTCCGCATCATCGAGGACCGCGAGCAGCAGCGTCCCAAAGGTTTCGCCTACGCCGAGTTCCAGGACCTCGAGGGCTTGAAGCAGGCTTTGACTCTGGACGGCCAGTCTTTCCAGGGCCGTGTCATCAGAATCAAGGTCGCCGATCCTCGTAAGCATGCCCACGCGACGACACAAATATCTCGACCGTTGCTAACACATATTTAGCCCGTGGTGGCGACCGCGGTGAGTCTACTCGCGATTTCGGCGACTGGACCCGCAAGGGCCCCCTCCCTGACCTCCCCGGCCGTGGTGGAAGCGACCGCCGTGGCTCCGAATTTGGCGAGCGCCGTGCCCCGCGTGAGCCCCGCGAGCCCCGCGAGGATGACGGCAAGACCCGTGACTTCGGCAACTGGGAGCGTAGAGGCCCCCTCTCTCCCCTTCCCAAGGAGGAGCGCGGTTCCCGCGAGGGCAGCCGTCCCCGCACCAATGATGGACCCCGCGAGTTCCGTAACCGGCACCAGTCTCCCGCTGCTTGGGGAGAGGGTCAGCAACCCCGCCAGGACTCTCGTCCCCCCCGCCCCGAGCGTACCCCTACCGCCGCCGAGCAGGACAACCAGTGGAGATCCAAGATGCGTCCTGACGCGGCTGTCAAGTCCGGTAGCCAGTCTCGCGATGGCAGCGAGGCCCCGTCCTCCCCCGCCGCTGCCCCTGCTGCCCCTGTTGGCCGCCCCAGGCTGAACCTTGCCAAGCGCACCGTTTCCGAAGCCCCCGATGTTCTCTCCCCTTCCGGCACTGACTCCAAGGCCAGCCCCTTCGGTGCCGCCCGTCCTATCGATACCGCCGCGAAGGAGCGTGAGATCGAGGAGAAGAAGCAGCAGCAGGCGAAGGAGAAGAAGGAAGCCGACGAGAAGGCCAAGGAAGAGCGCCGTCTGGCCAAGGAGGCTGCTGCCAAGGAGGCTGCTGAGAAGGCCGAACAGGAGGCTAAGGCTGCTGAGGAGGCTGCCCAGGCTGCCCAGGCTGCCGAGGAGGCCCCCGAAGCCGCAAAGGAGGATGAGAGCAAGGAGAACGGTGCCTCTGACGAACAGAAGGTTCCTATCCGATCAAAGGAGCCCAAGGAGCCCCGCGAGGCGGCCAAGACCTCCCGTGCCACTGAGGCCAGCAGCTGGAGATCGGCATCTTCCGGAGGTGCCCGTGGTGCTCCCACTGGACCCCGCGGTGGTCGTGGCGGTGCCGGTCCTCGTGGTGGCCGTTTCGACAACGCCCGCCCCCCGCGCTCCAACGGCGGTCCTGCTGCCCGTGAGCCCTCCACCCCCGCCGCCGACGGCGAGGCCCCTGTTGAGGAGGACGGTTGGACTACGGTTCCCAACAAGAACCGGCGCAACGTTGGCCCTCGCGGCACTGCCTAGAGGGCTTATGCGCCTCCCACTATCCTTCAGCGTCCAGTTGGACATGATGGGGCAAAGGCCGCATACATTGCGGATAAGCTGCGCCCAATTGTCTGTATGCCGGGCCTAGACGAGTTTCCTCGTCACATATACCCAGATGACTCGTACGATTCTGACGAACGACTTCACGCCATGAACCGCATCATCGGAGCTTGAGGGGGGCCACGATCTTCCGATTCTTCCTGATATTTTGCTCTTCTCACCCGCGAAGGAAGAAACCTGGCTCATCCGGATTGCTGAAGGAGAAGAAAACCAATCACTTTCCTTTTCACTCTCACACACTCAGCACCCTCGACGGTCCTTGCTCGGATTGCCTCTCCTCGAGGCAACACAAAAGAACAGTCTCCTCGACTCTCAACGACTGGAGAAGGCGCGCAGCTCGCACGCATTCATCGGAGTTTGCGAAGTGGTTACAAAAAATAAGGGCTCATGGATGTTGGAAGGGAAAGGGGTGTCATGACCAAATGTCTTTTTTTTCGTCGTATCTTTTTCTCCTTTGTTGTCTCGTTTCCCCCTTCTTGCTGTCGCGCTCAGAAAAGTTCGGCCTATGGGTTTTTTCCTCTCTCGACTCGCCAGCAAATCCTCGATCCGACAAGGGATTTTCTGCTCCTAGTGACGTTAAAAAAGAAGGAGCATTAGGGAATCACAAATCACAAACACCAGTTAAAACTACTCCTCTCTATCGCCGCCTTCCTCAGATCCTCCGAA